CACCTCTGGTGGGCTTCAAAAATTTTAGCAAGGGGTTCTCTGCCTGGTTGCTGGGTGGGCATGGCCATGGTGAGCGTGGCCTAGTCAGCCTCCTGCACCATGGCCCTCCTGGGAGGCTCCGGGAGGGCAAAAATGGCCTCCCCAGGCTCCAGAGGCCCTCTGGAGGCCAGAAATGAGCCCGTTTCCGGCCTTCCTAAACTTCTGGTAGGCCCGTTTTTCGTCCTCCCCGAGCCTCCGCATGTGCCCTGCGCTTACCTGCATCCAAAACGGGCCACATGGGGACTCCTGGGAGGGGCGGGGTGGGCAGGGCCAGTTAGGAGTGGGATTTGGGGGTTTTCTGAACTGCACAGAATCTTAGCTAGAGGTTCTCCCGAACCCCTGCAAACCCCCAGCAGCCCACCCCTGGGTGTGATCATTGCTAAAAAGCAATGAGAACATGGCGCAGGTGGGTCCGTGTTTAGAATAAAGTTGGAAGCCAACTGGAACAGGAAATCTTCCATCAGATTTTCATTGGGTGGGAGGGGAGAGCTTTCCATTAAAATGACCTCCTCCACTTTGATGGAAGTGTAACGGTTTTCAGTAGGTGTAAGTTATAGAAGCTGTTCTGAAATGACTTCTGTTTATGAAAATTAGCTTTGGCAGATACGATGCACAATCTGTTGTGATCAAGTATTTCCTTTCTTTTGAGATATCTCATTAACTTTTCTGACTATATGGACCCTCAGTTTATTCGTAACCTCTTGTGCCCATCAAATGCTTAGCAATGCTTTGTGAGTTAAGGTGGGCCATTCCATTGTTCTCCTTTCTCAAGGGCTGCACAACTCTTCACTTGTTTACCTCTTTAAAAGCTCCCCACCCCCCACCCAGCCTTAAAAGTAATAAATATTTTCCTGCAAGAGTTAAGGCAGAAAAGGAGAGGGGTTAGGAAGCTTGATTCAAATATGTCTTAGGCGGCCCTTAAATACAGGCCTGGCATCTTGTTACAAGGAGTCTTTGACTTATGGCCACAGTTGAGCCCAACTTTTCCATTGCTAAGCAAGGCAGTTGTTAAGTGAGTTTTGCCCCATTTTACGACCTTTTTTGCCACAGTTGCTGAGTGAATCACTGCTGTGGTTAAGTCAATCATGTGGCCGTTTAAGTGAATCTGGTTTCTGCTCCGATTCTGGAAATTTTTCGGTAAGCCTATACAGTTTTTAGGTAAGCCTATCCCTTCCAACATTCCATTCCATTCCATTCCATTCCATTCCATTCCATTCCATTCCATTCCATTCCTCTACTCTACTCTACTCTACTCTACTCTACTCTACTCTACTCTACTCTACTCTACTCTACTCTACCCTGCTATTACTCTACTCTGCTATTACTCTACTTTGCTATTACTCTACTCTGCTATTACTCCATTTTATTCTACTCTGCTATTACTCTACTTTGCTATTACTCTACTCTACTCTATTCTGCTATTACTCTACCCTGCTATTACTTTACTCTGCTACTACTCTACCCAGCTATTACTCTACTATGCTATTACTCCACTATATTCTACTTTGCTATTACTCTACTTTGCTATTACTCTACTCTACTCTGCTATTACTTTACCTTACTATTCCTCTACTCTGCTATTATTCTACTCTGCTATTACTCCACTTTATTCTACTCTGCTATTACTGTACTTTGCTATTACTCTACTCTACTCTGCTATTATTCTACCCTGCTATTACTCCACTTTATTCTACTCTGCTATTACTCTACTCTGCTATTACTCTACTCTACTCTATTCCCCATTGATTTTGCTTATTGCAGGGGCGTCAAACTCTCAGCCCATGGGCCAGATGTGTCACGTGGTGGCTTTTCCCCCTCCCGGTTTCGCAAAGGGGGAAAAAATTCCCGATACATCACGTGACGCCACCGTGACGACGCAAGTTTGACATCCCTGGCTTATTGAAAGCTGGGAAGGTTACAAATAATGATCACCAACATTCCCAAGACCGTTTTAACTGTCATAAATACATGCCAATTACCAAGTGTAATAAGTAAAAAGGAGGAGAGGGAATGGCCAAATGAAAGACAGTTGGTGTCTCTGCCCACTTTTGGCTTGGATTCCATCTATTCCTGACCTTGGCCCCACCTACCAATTCACTTTCTAGAAGAATATGGCCATTGACCAAAGGAACAAACGGCTTGTCCCTGTTTCAAATGGGCAAAATTTTCCATAAGAATTGTAGTTTTTCTTCATCCCAGCATGAAGGCCAGGAGCGGGGGAAGAGTGGTATTTATTTCCCATGATTTATCTCCCACTTTAATTGCAGGAGCTAAATACAGCCATCAGTGAGACAGATTAGCCTGAGAAATGCAAACCGTAAACTTTGGCACAATTCCCCAAAAATGGTGTAGGAGTTTGGACGCTCCATTTAACTTAGATTAATGGTTCCATTCATTTCAGCTTTGGAGATAGCTGCCAGATATGCCTTTCTTTGGTCAGGGTTGTAATGAATCCCACCCAACTTAAGCATGGGGAACTTGGAGGACCTCCTAGTTCGTGCTCTCCCTCTCCCCCCCCAATCTTCTAAAATTGCAAGAACACACCAACAAACAACATGTAGCAGAAGAAGAGGCAGAGCCTGGAGATGGAGTCAAGCAAGGAATCAGCCTAGAATCATTACGTTCTCACTAACAGTCTAAGTCAAACCCTTCTTGAATTCCATTGACTCTTATCTAGTGCCAATTTAGTGCTCACTACCTTATCCAGTTTGTGCATGCCCACTTGGCAGCTCCTCTTCCTAGTTGCGGCCCTGATGAGCGCACGAAGTGCTCCCTTTTTGGCACTCAGTGCCGAAAAGGTTCGCCATCACTGACCTACACAGTGTGGCTGGCTATAATTATTTATTTGGAACAGTTTTATGTCTGCCTTGAGCCAGAAAGCCTCACCAGTGTATGCATTTTGCCAAAGGTCAAGCTTACAGACTTACCTATGAGTAAAAATAAGGAAGGGGAGGAGAGGGGGGAAAAAAAACCAAGCATAGACACTTTTTTCTGTATTACAGCTCTTAAAAACGATAAGCTAGGAAAAAAAGCAGATTGTATGATGTGGTTACAACTTGTTGACTGTTAAAGAGGGAAACGGGTGGTGGAATAATGTGATTGCGCCACAGCTTTACATATTGATTTTTATAGCCGCCATTTTGTCAAGTGCCTCTGGTCAGTGTACTATATAAACTATAAGGTAAAGGTTCCCCTCGCACATATGTGCTAGTCGTTCCCGACTCTAGGGGGCGGTGCTCATCTCCATTTCAAAGCTGAAGAGGCAGCACTGTCTGAAGACGTTTCCGTGGTCATGTGGCCGGCATGACTAAACGCCAAAGACGCACAGAACGCTGTTACCTTCCCACCAAAGGTGGTCCCTATTTTTCTACTTGCATTTTTTATGTGCTTTCGAAGTGCTAGGTTGGCAGAAGCTGGGACAAATGGGAGCTCACCCCATTACGCAGCACTAGGGATTCGAACCGCTGAACTGCCGACCTTTCTGAACGACAAGCTCAGTGTCTTAGCCACTGAGCCACCGAGTCCCTATCATAAACTATAAAAATGATTAAAATGTTGCAAAGTAAATATATTTGGCACAGCTGCTTTGGAATTTAATACAGCCAGGAAATGAGGCCCTTGACACACTCAAGGACCCAGGCCCGGGTGTACAATCTAGTCTTCATGGGGTTATGAAAGGCCAACATGGTTGGAGATAGTCATTCTGATATCCAAAGAGAGACTATTTCTGAAGGTAGAGACAAATTGCAAAGAAGGCTGGTTCCTGCCAGCCAACATTACTTGGCTGCAGCATCCAATCTGGGTCAATCATCGTAACCAGAAGTTTAGTCTTCTGAGCTTTCGGACTCATTTTCATTTCATTTCATTTATTTGTCAAGCATATATACGATTACAGATATAAGTATAAACATGATTATGAATACAGGAAATGGATACAAATGAATGGGGGACAGTAGGACAGGGACGGAAGGCACGCTGGTGCGCTTATGCACGCCCCTTAAAAACCTCTTAGGAATGGGGTGAGGTCAACAGTAGACAGTCTAAGGTTAAAGTTTTGGGGGTTTGGGGAAGTAACCACAGAGTCAGGTAGTGCATTCCAGGCATTGACCACTCTGTTGCTGAAGTCGTATTTCCTGCAATCGAATTTGGAGCGGTTTACCTTAAGTTTGTATCTATTGTGTGCTCGTGTGTTGTTGTGGTTGAAGCTGAAATATTCATTGAGAGGTAGGACGTTGTAGCAGATAATTTTGTGTGCTATGCTTAGGTCAGACTGAAGGCAGTGTAGTTCTAAATTGTCTAAGCCCAAAATTTCAAGCCTGGTGGCATAAGGTACTTTATTGCGGGTAGAGTCATGGAGGACTCTTCTCGTGAAATATCTCATGATGGACTTTTCATATTTGAAATGTTTCAAATATTTCAAATATTTCAAATATTTCAAATATTTCAAATATTCAAATATTTCATATTTCATCATGAGAGATTTCTCATGAAATATCTCATGATGGACTCCAGCACGAGTCTGAAAGCTTTGAAGACTAAACCTCTGGTCTCGGTGACCGACCCGGATTGGATCCTGCAACATTATCCTGGGACACGTATATTCGCCTTCATTTCTTGGCTGATGGGATCCTCAGCATGCCTGGTCTACCGGCCTGAATTGGATGGATAGAAAAGAATGGGAGAAGACGGTCTCAGAAGTAATCCTTAGGGATTACCTGAATCTCATTACCAATGACACGGTCCGAACCCTCTTGCTGTTAACAGGCAGCAAATGACTTGGGGTTCTCCGTGGCTTTCATTGGGTTGTGATGCCCTGAAACGACCACATTGATGGTGACCCATGGCTAAGCTCTGATTAAGCTCCCCTTTATGATTTTTTTTTTGTCCCAACCGGCTTAGCTATTCCAAATTGCCAACGAACGATGTGTGTAACCATCTCTGTTTTCTTCCGTTCCTTTCAGACCGAAAACTACTCGTTTGATTCCAACTATGTGAACAGCCGAGCTCATTTAATAAAAAGGTAGGTGGGGCACTGGGTGCATTTTGGGGGGCATCAACGCTAAATCGCTTAATTCATTCCCATCGGCTTCTTATTTTCTAGGCAAGATCTGCTCACTTGGTTTGGGGATGGGGCGGTAATAGTGGTGGAGGAGACAGGCTTCCTCAAAGTAAATAAGTAAAAATGTACAATCTTCATAAACCCTCACCACTTTTGGCTTTTAAAGGCTTTTAACGGCAAACTCAACCAAACCCAATCCCAAAACTCACTCTTGAGCGATGCTTCCTTCATACATACCATGTTTCCCCCAAAATAAGACCTGGTATTATATTAATTTTTGCTCCAAAAGATGCATTAGGGCTTATTTTCTGGTTAGGTCTTATTTTGGGGGGAAATACAGTACTAAATGCATCCATCTGGCTGACAATCTTAACTGGGGCTTATTTTGGGGATAGGGCTTATATTACGAGCATCCTGAAAAATCATGCTAGGACTTATTTTCTGGTTGGGTCTTATTTTTGGGGAAACAGGGTGGGTGTGATGTAGAGTCAGGCAAAATTCAATTATCCTGACAAACTTAAAAATTTTGTAAAGTTTATTTCTCTGCACGAAACATAAAAGGAGGGTGCTGGAGCTGGAGTACCCTCTCTGCTTTGGAGGAAGAGAGAAGGGAAACGAGGAACTCCTAACGGATTGATCCTGCACCTATTTTTTTTTTTTTAAAGAACTGTTTGAATGGCCAGGAAAAATAATATTTGTATACTATGACGTGTCTCCATCTACTATTCCTCTTTAACTCAACGATTGCCTCCTCTTTCAAAGGATTTGTTTATTGCCCAGTTTCTTTCGAGCATAAACGAGAAAATGAATGTGGTCCCTTGGGGATGTGTTGATAATAATCATCATTACTAACATCTCACTAGTCATTATCTCGAGCGTTGGAACGAGAGCTCATCCGGATTCTTTCCTTCTTGTATCCATCCAATACCTCCACTTTCAAGATCCTTAAATAAAAGTTCTGAAATAGGATTTATTTGCCGGGGACTTGGAATCTGCTTCTTCAGCGACCAACCTCACCAGGTCTTCAAAGGGCTGAACATCTTTTGACCCTACAGGAGCTTCTGCTTTTATCTGCCTTAGCATTGTGGCTGGGAATGATGTGGTTTAGACCAGTGGTCACCAACCGGTGGTCCGTGGACCACTGGTGGTCCGTGAGAAAATTTTGATGGTCCACAGAAAAATTACTTGCATTTTTTACTCTTTCTCGTGGTAGCTGCTTAGCTCCAACAACTGCTTCCTGTTGGGGCCTTAAGGAGCCCGGGCGGGGAGGCAAGAAGTGACTGGGAGGGGAGGGGCGAGTAGAGGCCGGAGAGGCACCCCTTGATCTGAGTGACATCGAGTTGGCCATGCCCACCCAGTCACATGACCACCTAGCCACGCCCACCCAGCCGGTCATTAGGCAGATTATATTAGTGGTCCGTGGGATTTAAAATTATGAATTTAGTGGTCCCTGAGGTCCAAAAGGTTGGGGACCCCTGGTTTAGACCCAAAGGTGCTTTTTCAGGAGGCAACTGGATGTTCTTGTTTTTTCTTTGAAGATGTTTCACTTCTCATCCAAAGAAGCTTCCTCAGCTCTGACTGGATGATGGGGAATGGAAGGATTTATATTCCTTGCAGACAGCTGGTCATTTGCATCGTTTTAGAGGGTCATTGAAGCACTTGGAGGTTTTATCTGAGTAGTGCTCCTGGTTCTTGTAATCTGCAATTTTTTTCCCCTCTGGAAATCCATTCCTACTCCCACACCATTCCAAGGATGTTCATCCCAAATTGTATAGCTAAAAGTCTGTAGAGATTCTCAGTCATCCAGGTTATGGTTGTCCCAAAGGGCCCAAAAATGTGGTTTAGAGTCCAGCATGAGGATGGCCACGGAATTCTGAATGTCCTAGTCTAAAATTGGTGGCAGTGTAAAGGGATTTTAGGTGTGTGTTTGTTTGCTTCAGCAGACCAATACTAAGTTGTTACATCTGAAAGAGATAATCATCTTCTTCTATCTGCTTGATGGGATGAGCAAAGATTCCTTTTGCGGAACCAAGCAAATTAATGGTCCATGTGTGCAAAGAGCACAGAGAGTGTAAGAAGCTTGCTCTCTGCTTGAAGTTTTCTCCCTCCTTGACTTTTTAATGCCTTCTAAGCTTGGATTTCTTTTAAACACATCACATTTTACTTAATTCTAATCTGGCTTGCTGGGCTGAATCATAATCATTCCATCAACCGATACATTTTTTGAGGTGACACCCTGCTGCTTACTTCAATTCCAGGCTGGAGGTAGGAAATGGATTTCTTTCTGAGGCCCCTGAGGCACTTCCCGGATCGCTTTCATCATTTCTTTTATTTCATCCCATCTTTCTTTGACCAAAATTCAGTTTGCCAAATCTGGATTTTGCTTTTTTGGGCTCTCCTTAAATGTGCTTGCAGTAATAACCCACTGAGGTTGGTGACTTTGAAAGAGAGTGACAAGAGAGAAGGAACGGTCAAAATTGTCCAAGTGTCAACATAAATCTTCCTAGTTTTTATCTCTGAAACAGCAGAAGACTTCTCGCTGTTTTCCGGTTACAACATACTTTGGAATTTTTCTCAATTTAATCTCGGTTGTCACAGGAAATCTTCCGTTTAATTCACACAGTAGGGTGGCTGCTCTAACCCATATGCACGTACACGAAAAGGGAATAAGCATGGGTTTGCTGCAATTTTAAATTTGCATGGTTGAATTACGCACTGTTTATATTCTTGTCCCATCTGGCAAAAATGCGTTAGATTATAAACTCCCGTAGATTCTTGAGTTAGGGCGGGCGGCTGAAGTGTACGAGATTTGTCAGAATTTGAGCAATCAGGCAATGTTTTAGTGCATCTTGTTCTTATAGTTGTTGTTGGGGTTCAGACTTAATCTTTATTTTTAGGAAGTAGAAACCTGAGTGCAGGAGAGGTGAAATGGAGATTTAGATAATTAGGAACGTTGCTTGTAGTTTCCAAGCATCGTGACTTGGAACTTCCTGATCATTGATTCCTTTTAACAACATCTTCTATTCTGACAAACGGCACCCTCTCTTCTCTGCCCCATCTTAGTAATTACAGGTAGTTTTTGATTTATGGCCGGTCGCTTAGCAACCATTTGAAGTTATGATAGACCCTGAAAATAAGACTTACGACCCGAATTCAAGGTTCTAATGTCTACCCTTCCACTTGTAGTCAGGTAAAATCAGGCATGGGGGGATCCATTTTATAACTGCCAAGACTTACAACCGAAAGTGTGGGCTCAATTACCATCATAAATTGAGGACTACCTGTATTTAAAGGCGAAACTTGCTGGTCTATCAGAAGGATTGCATTCGAGAACTAAAGGGACACAGGTCAAGCTGGTTTCAAGTTCAAGTTCCATTTTCAAATTGTTCCATGGAAGGGAACAATTGGTGGAAGCAACGGGTAAGATTTGCGGGGTCGTTGGTGCCCTCTAAGCTTGGTTGTTTTCTTGCAGACATTTCACGCTAGCTTTGATGTTACCCAGGTGGATAATAAAACATCGGCAAGATAACAACCAAGCTCAGCGAGCACCAAGGACAGTTCAACTCCGAGCTACAAATATTCCCTTCTGTTGGTAACAGTTAATGTAACTGTTCAACCTCTGAACAACATTTTAATGCAAGAATTAGAGCTATAGTGTACAATCTTGAAGGGATGCGGTGGCTCAGTGACTAAGATGCTGAGCTTGTCGATCGAAAGGTCGGCAGTTCAGCGGTTCGAATCCCTAGTGCCATGTAACGGGGTGAGCTCCCGTTACTTGTCCCAGCTTCTGTCAACCTAGCAGTTTGAAAGCACGTAAAAAATGCAAGTAGAAAAATAGGGACCACCTTTGGTGGGAAGGTAACAGCCTTCTGTGCGCCTTTGGCATTTAGTCATACCGGCCACATGACTACAGAGACGTCTTTAGACAGCGCTGGCTCTTTGGCTTTGAAACGGAGATGAGCACCACCTCCTAGAGTCGGGAATGACTAGCACATATGTGCAAGGGGAACCTTTACCTTTATCTTATAGAAACTTGAAAACTGCATCAAGGATCTCCACACCCCATTTATTAACAAGTTCATTAAAGTGGAGTCTCATTAAGTTTTTTTGACTCTTTATTTCCCAGAATATTTTTGCAATCCCCTGATATTTTCCAAGCCTTTTTCTGTGGTCATGTGGATGGCATGACTAAATGCCAAAGGCGCACGGAACACTGTTACCTTCCCACCAAAGGTGGTCCCTATTTTTCTGCTTGCATTTTTACATGTTTTCGAACTGCTAGATTGGCAGAAGCTGGGACAAGTCACGGGAGCTCACCCCGTTACGCGGCACTAGGGATTCGAACCGCTGAATTGCCGACCTTTCTGATCGACAAGCTCAGTGTCTTACCCACTGAGCCACCGAGTCCCTGAACTCGATTAAATTGGCGGCGATTTTGAAATCTATCAAAATTGGTTTTCGTAATCAATTTGTTCGAACTGATGAATTGGTTCAAACACGGCAGTCTTAATTAGCATTGCAGTAACTACTTTTCGTTCTCTTCCCCCAGCTCTCTCCTATTAGGTTGTGTCGGTCATCTGGGAGGAATTATTGTTAATGGGTTGGTGGAATTCATTCTGCTCTTTCGGAAGATCTGATTATCCTCCTGCCTAAAAAAAAAATCCCATGCGTTTAAGAGTATGACGGTTGTAAGCAGGAGATGAGAAGTAGCATCCATTCCGAAGGAATAGGATAGTTCATCATATTTAACCATGGTGGTAATTGCTAGTAGGGGAAAATCGCCTCGTGTGTTGCCTTGTTTCTTGTATTCCAATAAAGATTTCTTCCAGGGAGCAAAACTACTCATGGTTTTCTCCTGAGCCATCCTGACGGGAAATGGACAGTGAAAATGTTGTAGGCTCAGAGCTGAGGGTGGTAGGGAAGTCTTTAAGTGGAGAAAAAACTGAGTATACTTTGAGAAA